GCGGGGCGGGGGCCGAAGCCCGGCCGACATGGACGGGTCCTGCGTGCGAGGGGCTGCGGGGGTCGGCCCGCCAGCGCCGCCGGGCCCCTCCTGCCAGACTCCGGTCCCGGGCAGCGCTGTGGATAAGCGTTGCTTAGAAAGCTGCATCGAAGTTAGCTGTTCAGAGTTGTAGGATATTTGGGAGATTCTTTTGGAAATTCAAACGCCCTTGGCCGGCTAAAGATTAGCTCCTTAATTGGGAGCTCAACACTGGCTTGTGTGACAGTTACCTTGAGGTTCGGTGAGACTCCGTTGTACTTGTTCTCCCTGCCTCGCCTTGCAGGCAGATGACAGCAGTGTCGCCAATTTGGCTCAAAGCTCATGCTGATGAGACTTGAGATAAGCTTCTTAAGAACAACACTGGCTACTCTTGCTTGAGATATTCTTTAAAATTTTTTCTTTTCTTTTGTTCAAGGATGTGACATGAAATAGTTGTGCCTACTTTGTGAGTTTTAAGGAAAAGTTCGTTCCCCTCCCACCCAAGTATTGAGTTAGAAATATGTCTTCTAGTTTTGCAGCCCTCTTAGCAGACATAAGTGTCACAGTTATCAGGCGCATTTAGAGAATAAGGTGGTCTGCTTAATTTATTGCGATGCAAGCTGGAAATGCAAGACTTCTTGAACAGTTTTCTTTTTTTTCGTATGTATCCCCGGTTGGACTTCAATCTGAACCTCCCGTCTCAGCTTCCCGTGCTGGAATGATAGGCAAAGGCCACCATACCTGGCTGAAGCTTTTTCTTAAATGGATTAAATACTTCCATTTTATGAAAGATATGTAGTATTTAGGCCTTTCTTGTTAATTCATGGTCAGTATTATAACCATTATGTTATAATTTTGCTTGCACTGAGATATTAGTGTGTCATTTATGAACAGTAGTCTCTTTTACTTGATGTTTTTCTTCCCTAAAAAACTCACTGCAAGCCATTTGCTAGTTATAGGCTGTAACCTGCTTTTGTTAAGGACAGCATTTTAAGAATTAGTGATTGAATATTAATATGGTTATTCCGAAGTGCATGAGAAGTTCAGGCTTTTTCTGAGCCTTCAGTTCTGAAGGACTTGTGTTAAGATTGTGACTGTTGGCTGCATACACACGCATCCCTAGAGGGTGTGATTTTGTGTGCTATGTTTTTTTTTTTTTTTTTTTTTTTTTTTTTTTTTTTTTTTTTTATTTTTTTTTATTTATTTATGTGTGTGTGTGTGTGTGTGGCCAGCTCAGCCCACCAGGGGGCGGGCTGGCTGGCATGTGGTGCTGGGGGATTGAACCGCGGTCCCTGTGATTTGCTAAGCCTGTTCTAAGTAGGTGCTTTAGACCACTGAGCCATCTCACCAGCCCCTGTGCTATGTTTTTTTAATAACAAAAGTTTTAGTCCAAAATATTTTCATTATTTTTTGGAACTTTTAAGTCGTTAATTTTCAAGGACCGTTTTAATTTTCTTGGGAATCTGACCTAACATGTCTGTGTCACAGAAAATGGAAGAAAAGCTGTGTTTATAAGATTTTTTATTTTTTGTCTTTTGGAGACAGGGTCTCGCCGTGCTGTTTATGCTGTCCTTGAGCTCACAGTGTCGCCCAGGGTAGTCTGGAACTTGCAGTGATCGTCCTGCCTCAGCCTCCCAAGTGCTGGGATTACAGGCGTTCGCCACCACACCTGGCTTTGCAAAAATTCTTGAGAATAACATCTTAAGAACTTCTTGTTCTACTGCTTATTATCTGAAGGAACTTAATTGAAAGTACACTCAGCGGCTAGAAGTAACTGTCTAGAAGTGTTACTGAAGTGTTACTGTCACTTAGTAACAGAGGTGCATTTCATTGTTCTTGCAGATTTTGTGAACATGACTTGGGATGTTCTGATGATCAGAAAAATGTAATTAATGTGTAAATTGCTGGAAACACAGACATTGATTTTAAATGAATATTTAAGTTATTTTTTCTTAAATAGAAAAATCAAACAGTAAAAGTAAGATTGCTAAGTGCTGTGATCAATCCCAGCTCTTGGGAGACTGAGGCAAGAGGATTGCATGGGTTCGAGGCCAGGTGAGCCTATTTATTAAGTACAAGACCAGCCTGGACTGCACAGTGAGACCATGTCTAAAAAAAAAAAAAAAAAAAAAAAGGCCCGGGGAGATGGCTCAGTGGAATAAGCACTTCCCTGGCAAGCGCAAGGGCTTAAGTTCAATCCCCAGTTCCGGAAAAAGAAAAGGTTTGATGTATTTAACCTCTGCCTTTGAAGTCTAGAAAAATGTAAGGTGGTTCAATCAGTGCTTAAATGTATTTTTGATCTGTAAAATAGGTGGCAGTGTCAGGTATTTAGGCTTCAGTTTGCCTTTATGTAGAAAGAAAACAGGCCAGAAATACTTTCTGTACTAATTAGCCAGGTATGGTGGCACGCTCCTCTCCCCCCTCGGGAGGACAAGGTAGGAGGGCGGTAAGCTTGAGGCCAGCCTGGACTACTAAGCAAGACCCTGTCTTAAAAAGCCAAAGCAAATACTACGTTTTAGTAGCAAGTTTAATGGAAAACGTATTTGTAGGAAATATATAAGAAATGATCAACTCTTTTTATTTTAGTAAAACTATATTGAGTAATGTGTGTAACATCTTAACTACTACAGGCTAAGAATGTTGAACCGTAACTTAAATCTGCTTGTTTTTTTGTTTTTTTGTTTTTTTGTTTTTTGGTGGAACCAGGGATTGAACTCAGGCCAGTGTGCTTGCCAGGCAAGCGATTGTTCTACTGAGCCATCTCCCCGGCCCCTTAAATCTGGTTTTAGCAAAAAGTTTTGTACTCCAAATGTAACAAGTGAATTGCTTACTTTCTTCTTAGTCCAACACACATTACTTTTTGGGATGTTACTCACTGCTCATTTGTTTTGTTTTGTTACTTTGTTCTGAGATTGGGTCTTGTTAAGTGATCCAGGCTGTCCTTGATCTTGGGGTGGCCCTACCCTAGCCTCCTGAGTGCTTGGATTAATAATAGGTGTAGCTCACCATGCCTGGTTTGGTCATTCCATCTTTATAGATTCTCTTTTACTCTTAAAGTTTCTGTGTTCAGTCCTGGGTTACTTTTCTTTTTGTGTTCCTGCTGTTATTCAGAGTCACTCTATGCTGAGGGCTACCATGTTTCTATCTCCAGCTGAGGTCCCTGTGGTACTCCACACAGCCGGGTAGTCCTCTCTGTTTGGAGGTAGAGGTCAGCTCAGACTAAACTTCCACAGTACTTCTTAACCTACTTTATGTGCAGCTTGACCTCTCTAATCAGATACAGAGACAAAGGTGTTGGCATTATCTTTGACTTTCCACCTGGTGTTCTGTGACTTCTCTTAATGTATCAGAATCCAGTCATTTCTTCCCATCTTTTCTGTCTTTCAGCCTGGGCCAAGCCAGTCTTATCTCTTGCCTAGATAATTCTGCAATTAGCTCCTTAACTGGTTTTTCTGCTTCTTTTCTAGCCTCCTGGGGTCTTCTCAGCATAGCAGCCACATCGTATCACTTACCAAATCCTGCAGTGACTTCCCACATGCAGAGTAAAACCGAGGTCCCTGTGGCCTGTCCGGTGTTGCAGAGCTTGGGTGCCCCGTTGTCCTGTCTTTGCTCTGAGAAAGCTGCTGCCCTTCTCCCGGCTTGTGTGCCTGTAGCTCACCCTGGCTGTTGGAGGGTCTTTCATTGGCTCTTGCTTCTCCTTGGAATGCTTTTCTCAGGTATTTGCCCGGTGTACTTTCTTGACTCCTTTCAGCTTTGCTCTTTGAATGCCACTTTTTAAAAAAAGCCTGTTTAATTTAAAACTATACTTCCCTACTTCAATCCCTCCACCCTGCTGTTTTCTCATGGGACCTGTTGCCTTTGTCATACCTTATAATTTCCTCATTGATTGGGTTTATTGTCTCTCCTCTGCCTCTAAACTCACACTGTAGGATAACCTCTGTGAGACAGGGTGTTTCGTTTATTAATGGACCCCAAGAGTTTTCCATATCATCTGGCATGTAGCAGATGCTCAATAAGGATTTGTTATACCAGGTGTGGTGGCACATGGCTGAAGTGTTGACACTCAGGAGGATGAGGGAGAAAGATTGCTGTGCATTTGAGACCAGTTTGTACTACATAGTGAGGTCAAGGCCAGCGTGAACTGCAAAGTGAGACCCTGTCTCAAAGAAAAAAGAAAGAAAGAAAAGGATTTGTTGAGTGAATGAGTTAAGTCCTTCTCCTGCAGTTCCTTCCTTTGATCGATGCAGTATCTTTGGAGGCATGGAGTTTTCAGTGTCTTTCCTCTTCTGGACACAGAGCAAAAGATAGTGGCAGGGAGCCTTTGTAAATCCCTTGATAGAGGGAGTGATAGCAGGCTGTGTTAGTGACTCTCATACTTCCTCCTTTGATTTAAGAGCATTGAAACAGCTCAAAAAGCTGGTTGAAAGCTGGGTGTGGTGGTGCATGGCTGTAGTCCCAGATCTGTGGGGCAGGAGGATCAGGGTTCAGACTGAGCAAGTTAGTGACTTAGAAAGACCCTTCCTAAAATTTAAAAAAAAAAAAAAAAAATCTGGAAATATAGCTTAATGTGAAGGCCTTGGATTCTATTCTTTTTTTTTTTTTTTTTTTTCCCTCTGGGAAACAAATATTTAAGGATACTTTGCTCTTCAGGGACCTGGTTACAGAGGCCTTTGAAAACTAAGAACACAACCACGCAGCACAGATCTGAACTAGTTTCTTACCACAACTACCGTGTACACTATAACCTTTTTCTCTCCAAAATGACCCTCATCTTACATGAAAATTGTTGCCACAGGGAAGCCAAAAATCTAGCTTTGTGGCCAAAAGGAAAAACAGCTATCTGTTGGTTAACCTGTAAGAGCAGGGAATCCTGAGCCCTTCACTGTGGTGTTCTGGCCTTCTTACTCTTGTTCTTCTTGTCTCTCTTCTTCAGCCCGTCCATGTTAGCCCTCAGCAGGCTTGAATAGGCCATCTGAAACTTACTCACTTCTGTAGAGCTCACCACAGTGCTGATCTTCCTTTTCCCATCCGTAGCTCTCAGCAGACATTTGTTATCTGCAGGCTCAAAGCCCTCCACAGAGCCCTTCTTTGGGATGGATCTGGTTCGACCATCATACTTCTTCAGGGTGATGAACACGCTGCCTGACGTCTGGCACTTCGGGAAGAGACTGGTCAGCTCGGTCACGAACTGCTTGCTCTCCAGCAGCACCATCTTGACGAAACAGGATCCAATTTAGATTCAGTTTTGTTTTTTTTTTTGGTGGAACTGGGGATTGAACTCAGGCCCTTGCGCTTGCCAAGCAAGCGCTTATTCTACTGAGCTATCTCCCCGGCCCCTGGATTCAATTCTTAACGCCACCCCTCGACTCATCTCAAAGCCCAGAGAGCTGATTATTTATTTATTTATTTTTTTCCAGGAACTGGGTATTGAACCCAGGCCCATGCGTTTGCCAGGGAAGCACTTATTCCACTGAGCCATCTCCCCGGCCCCGTCAGAAGGATTTTTTTTTTGTCGCCGAATGCCTTCGGAGCAGGTTTGGCTGGCTTGAGTTGTGGGGATTGAACCACAGCAACTTGAGCCTGCCTGCTTTGTTGAAGCAGCCACTTAAAGAACTGAGCTAAGGGGCAGGCCTCCAAGCTGATTAATTTTTAAGTGTACCTCAAATGTTTGTATCAAAACATTTACTATTTGTGCACACCTGTTGTAATCCTAGCATTCAGGAGGCTGAGGTGAGACCATGTCTCAAAAGAACAAACAGAAAATCTAGCGCTGCCTACTTTATTTCTCATTTTCTCATTCATATTCTCTCTCTCTCTCTCTCTCTCTCTCTCTCTCTCTCTCTCTCTCAGGCTTCTTGTGAACTTGGAATCCTCCTTGTTAACCTCTCAAGGGCTGGGATTACAGATGTGTATCCCATGCCTGACTTGGACCCCGGTCTTTCCTTAGGGTACTGGCCTCTTAATTTTCTTTCCATACATCATACTGGCAAACCTTTTAGACTCAGTTATGACAAAACCCACTTATTTATCACAAAATGCCAATACTGCAATTAAACCTGAATACTGAGGTTTTAGTTTAGGAAAACAACTCTACATTCACACTTTTTGTCTTAAAAACAGACTGACACATGCCATAGGTTCACCACCGCTAATCTGTGATTTTATTTTTAAAATTTTTTTCCATAATTTCATTGAGAAACAAATAGCAATGAGACTGTTTCAAACCAAATTGGTAGGACAGTTTCAATAATACATTGCATACATTCTTCCTAGTGGTTAATTGCTGTATAAGATGCAGACTTGAGATCCTATTTACAAACACTATTAGAACAAATTCCTCTATTCATTAAGAGAATGTAACTATATACCTATCCTAACCACTTTGAATACACAGATACAAAATGGACATTCATCTGTATACTCTTTTTTTGCTAAGTTCCGTTACTTGAATATTATAGGTGTGTAAACTCAGCAAAATATTCTAAAAGAGTCCAGTATCCCATAATAGTATTGGGTCTTCAGCTTGACTAGCAGGGTCAGAAATTGTTGACCTGAGTCCCCTACAGCTCAACAAAACAGCATGGCTTTACTTCTTATATTTCGTTTTTATACTTTTCTGCTGGATGGTTAAGACCAAGGTAAAGCAGACCTATGCAACAAGAGTTGTAGCTTTTGGGTCTGATAAGGTCAGTGAAATCCCCTCAGGATTCATCCTGAGATCCTGTACCTCAGATTGTAGAACCTTTGTCAGTGTCAGCCATGTGGATGAGTCACGGCCATTGCTTGGCCAATGTGCTCTCTGAAAGCCTGAGAGAATGTTTTCTCTCCATGTGACTCTCCTTAGGCACACTGTACATCATCGATCACTTTCCTCTTTGGCCCCATAATCTCCTTGATCAGAAAATTTGGGACACTACTGAGTTACGTGACGTTACTACAAGTTCTCATATGTCCTGAGTCTTAATTGACCTTGGAAGGCTAAGGCCAAAATGTTGGCTTTCCTTGCGGCCCTCCTATTTCTCTAATTTTGGTCTGCAAACTTAGGTTGTTAACCCTCCAGAAGAGAAGCTTATTGTTATTACCATACAATGTAGGCTGTTAAGCTTAACCTCACTATCTGTCTGAATATCAATCCTTTGCTACTTTAAAAAACTCCCCTTCACTGTCTTCAACATGTTCAAATCAAAATCTTTCAAACTCATGAAATTAATACTGCCTGGAAGTGGATTCATGTTTTTATTAAGTGTTTTTTTCTGTTACAGTTCTTATGTTTTGGATTTAAAAATGTAAGAACCAGCTCATTATTTTGGTAACTAAAGAGAAACATTTATCCTACTTTTCCCATGTTTGTATTTTAGGATACCAGGTAAGTCATGAAAAAAGTTTCTGTAGATGAATTTTATAAAATAAAAGAGTGACAGGCTTTTGTATCTGTTAATTAGTAATGTTTAGACAAAGATCACCAGGATTAAATATGAAGAGATTTAGGTGCTTCCTAGTGGAATATGCTACATTGACTACAACCTTAAAACCTCAAAATAGGAAAAAAATCTTGAAATAGGAAAGAAAAATGTATTGAACATCATAGGGTGTCATCAACAAAATGAATACTGGAAGTGCTACAGGATCAGTTATCATTTGTACCTATCATCCCACCCCTGCCTGCCCAAAATTCTAAAATTTGCAAGAAAATAAACAATGAAGAGTTAGGGCTAGTACACAAAAGGAGACAGGATATACATCAGTAAGAGAATAACTGTTTTCCCCCATCCCCATCTTTAAAGCAGATGGAGAAAATGTGAGCACTGGCTCGATTCTCTTTTTTTTTTTTTTTTTTTTTTTTTTTTTAATTTTTATTTATTTGTGTGTGTGTGTGTGTGTGTGTGTGTGTGTCCAGCTCAGCCCACCAGGGGGCGGGCTGGCTGGCATGTGGTGCTGGGGGATTGAACCGCGGTCCCTGTGCTTTGCTAAGCTTGTTCTAAGTAGGTGCTTTAGACCACTGAGCCATCTCGCCAGCCCCTGGCTCAATTCTTTCTAATAATAGATAATTTATTTTTAATCTGCTGTGAGACTAGATTTTTTTCCCCCACTTCTATCCAGGCTCTAAGTTCTATGAAGCTAGATAGTAGGTTGTAGACAAATTTGTTGTCATGCTTAATCTTTCCCTTTCTCTTTCTCTACCTTTTTTTAGATGCTCCTTTTAAAAGTTGCACAAATAGTATCCTTATTTCCTGCTCCTTGATGTGAAGCTGAACGCTATTTTCTTGTCATTGTTATCCTTTTGAAGGGTGAACTTTGGACTTGCCTTCATAGCAGCCAGTACCCAACACTTCTGTTGTTTATTTTCTGCATTAAGCAGTATGTATGGGCTACTGTTTTGCTTTTGATTGGACTTCTGACCCCAACAAAAGTTTTTTCTTCCTTTTGAGTTTAGGCCATATCTGAAAGTAATCTTCATGGTGTGCAATGCCACTGCTAAGTAAAGCAGATTTACTTATTTTAATCTTGTTTTTTTTATTAATACATGTTCACAGTACATAAGAAATACATTCTTAATGGGGAATTGAGACATGTCCATAATATATTTTATTTTATTTTTATTTTTTTGGTGGAACCGGGGATTGAACCCAGGCCCTTGCGCTTGCCAGGGAAGCACTTATTCCACTGAGCCATCTCCCCAGCCTCTGTAATATATTTTAATTCTTTGTACTTTACTCATCTCTTCTCCTGTCCCTCTTATTTTTTAGTCTACTTCCCATTTGCAGAAGGTCTATCTCCCTGTTTTCTATTACAGTATCTTTATTTTGCCACTTTTACTTATACTTTGGGTTTCTCATAAAAGGAAAACTATGCAATATTTAAGCTTGTGTGTCTCATTTCACTTAACTTTATGTCCTCAGGGTGCATCCATTTTCCTACAAATGACTCCGCTCTGCCCTTCTTTGTAGCAAAATAGTATTCTGTTGCAAATAAGTAGCACATTTTTATCCATTCATCTGCTGATGGACATATAGGTTGGTTCCAAGATTTACCTATTATGAGCATGCTGCTGTAAACATGAGTGTCCACACATCACTGTTATGTGACATTGTTGATTCTTTTGGGAAGACAGAAGGTGGTGTATCTGGGTTAAATGGAATTTCTATTTTTTAGTTTTTTTAGTCATGTTAACACTGATTTCCATAGTGGTTGTACTAGTTTACATTCCCATCGATAATGTGGAAGGATTTCTTTTTACCCCCACAGCCTCACATTTGTTGTTTTGAGTTCTTAATGATAACCATTCTTTGTGGAGTAGGATTTAATCTCATTGTATTCTATTTTGCCTTTCTCTTATGTCCAGAAAAGTTGAACAGTGTTTTTAAGTATTTATTGGTGATTTGTCAGTTTTCTTAGAAGTGTCTACTCATTACAGTTGCCCATTTTTGATTGGATCTTTTATTGCTGGGTCTAATTTTTTTGTTTTTTTTATGTTCAAGGTATTAGTCCTGAGGAATAACTGGCAATGTGGTTTTGCAGTCTGTAGGTTGGCTATTCTGTTTCCTTTGCTGTGAAGGTCTTTTACCTTGGTATGATCTCATTTGTTGATTCTTGATGTTATTTCTGTGTAGTTGAGGTTCTATTCAGAAAGTTCTTGTCAGTGTCTGTGTCTTCAAGAGTTTTACCAACCATCAGCTTATTTTTGTTTTAATATTTAATCCTTAATCTGTTTTGATTTTAGTGTAGGGGATGGTGAAAGATAGGGGTGTAGAATCAGTCTTCTCTGTTTGTGTAGCCTGTGTTCCCAGCCCCATTTGTTTTCTGTTTGTTTGTTTTTTCCTTTGCTGGAACCAGGGATTGAGTTCAACCCTTGAGCTTGCCAAGGAAACACTTATTCTACTGAGCCATCTCCCCGGCCCCTCCCATTCGTTAAAGAGGCTCTTTCCTCTAATGGTTTTTTTGGTCCTGAAGATCAGGTGGCTGTGCCTGGGTTTGTTTCTGCATCCTGTGTTGTTGCATTGATTCTCATATCTGTTTTTGTGCCAGCACCAAGCTGTTTTTACCTCTGTATCTTTGTAATAGAAATTGAAAGCTGTTTTTTGTTTTTTTTTTTGCGGAACTGGGGATTGAACTCAGGTCCTTGCACTTGGCAGGCAAGTGCTTATTCTACGGAGCCATCTCCTCGGCCCCGAAAGCTGGGATTATGATAACTCTTCATTTGCTCTTGTTGCCCAGGATTGCTTTTACATTCTTTTCTGGTTCCACATAAATCTTAGGAATTGTTTTTTTTTTTTTTT